TCAAAAAAAAGTAATAAATCACTAGTTAACAGATTACATATTGTCATCTTAGTAATAGTTGTTCAAGGACAAAATTAAAGTATACAAAGTGGAAATTTGAAAAGTGAGACTGCAAAAATGGGTAAATGTTATTGTAAAAAAGAGAGGAAAAGAAGGTGCTCTAAAGGACACAACTGCAAGTGTGTTTAGGTGTGTAAGATAGATAACCATATTACTAAGTTTTTGTTGGATCATTGAGTGCATAGCTATTTTAATAAAAACACACCTTTGGAGAGATTGTGGGAGTTTGAAAGCAGTTAATAATCAAACTGGAGTGGGTATCTTATTACATCTTATCATCTTCAGAGTAGTTGCCTCTACTCTTAGAGTTGATACTATCAAATTCAAATAAAATCAGTCCAGCAAAACAGTGGTCTAACAAATCAGCTTCAAATAAGATCAGTCATAATAAGACAATGTAAGTAATACAGGGTTTCAGTATAAGTTAATAGGAAATTAAGGATAGTTACCATGGTATAGCTTGCTATTTTGGGGATAGCTGTATGTGCCCTCAAATCTCATATGAGTAGACAGAATGGAACAAAATAAAATCAAGCTAAACAGAGTGATAAGACTACTGTGCCTTTTAAATCATGATATACTATTAACAATGTCCTCTGCCTTCCTTTTTTAGGCAATTCCTCACATTTCCCCTTCTCAGGATGCTTTGTGTATTTTGCATCCCACTAGCTCCTTTAGTTTTTAGATTAGTTAGTCAACCTGTTATCTATCTGAGTGTTGCTGAACATTTTTACCCCTGAGCTTGACCTTGAGCTTTACTTACTAAAGCCACAGGGTGTGCCTTCCTTCCAGCTGTGTAGTTCTACACTGCACAAAATTGTCATAACTTTCCAACTTACCTGTGGCTGCTGAAAGAATTGTCCTTATTTCTCTCTGGTTCCATGTCACATACAGTATGATTTTCTCATCTTGACTTTCAGTTTATTAACACTCTTTCAGGTTGATTATATTTCCTATTCAGAGCATCTCGATGGATTCTGCCTCCTAATCTACTCTGCCTGTGTTTCTTTATGTTAGTGTATCAAGGCTATCTGTATTAAAGTTTATAGCCTACCTTCTCTGCCTCATCTCTGCTATTCTATTTTTCTACTATTATTTGTCCACTTTTCTCCTTCATTCCACTGTCTTCCCCATTCATTGAGGCCTCTCTGCTACTGTTGCTGGAATCCTGGTACATTTTTTTCTCTATATATATAGAATGTCCTTCAGTATTTTTTGTAGGGTTGGATTGGTGGCCATAAACTCCCACAGTTCCTCCTTGTCTTGGAAATATCTTATTCACCATTAATTTTGAGGGAGAGCTTTTCAATGTACACCAATCTTGGTTGAAGGTTATTTTCTTTGAGGGCTTGGACAATTTCCCCCCAGGCTCTTCTCAGTTTGAGAGTTTTGTGTTAAGTCTGTCATTATTTTGATGATTTTTCCTTTGTAGGGAATCTGATTCTTTTCCCTGGCTGCTTTTAGTATTCTCTTCTTTTGTTGGATTTCTGGAATCTTGATTATTTTATGTCTGGCTGTAGATCTGTTTTGGTTGTAGGTGGCTGGAGTTCTGTATTTCTCATTTATCTGGATAACATTTCTTTTTCCTATGCCTGGGAAGTTTTCCTTAATTATTTTTGTGAATAGTCTTTGTAATTCATTTGTGGTTACTCCTGCTTTTTCACTCACATTTTTTATTCTTAAGTTATAGATCCTCTTCTCATCTTCGAGCCTTTGAATTGTTTCTTCCTGGTTCCTTGTTATTTTTAAGAGATCATATCTTTCATGATAACACATTATAAATCTCTCTTCAAGTTTTGAAAGGCTAACTTTAGTTTATCTCAAGGCATTTTGCTAGTTTTCAATGGAATTTTTAATTTCCTGGTAATCTCTTTGGATCTGTTTCATGTATTCTAGATTTTGTCTATATTCTTCACCAAAGGTTTCTCTTCCTTTTCTGGGTTCCTCCATTCTTCCTTCTGTGTTTTCTTGGGAGTGACTTAGCATTTCCTTAATTAATCTTTTTATATCTTGCCTCACTTGGATTAGAATTTGATTTTTAAGTTCGTCTATGAGGTCACAAAGGTATTTCTTTTTTTTTGTTTTTTGGGTTTTTTTAATTTTATTTAAAAGGAAAAAGAGAAAAACACAAAACAAAACAAAGCAGTGTAAGGGTACAGGTAATACAGAACTACAAAAAAAAAGTAAGAAATCACCAGTTAATAGATTACATATTATCATCTTAGAGATAGTTGCTCAAATCACAGTATCAAAGCATACAAAGTGGACATTCAAACAGTGAGACTGAAAACAGTTGTGTTCAATGATCCAACCAAAAACATTAATATGGTCAGCTATTTAACACCCCTAAACACACTTGCTGTTGTATCGTTTAGAGCTCTTTTTTTCCCTCTCTTTTTTTACAACAAAATTTACACATTTTGGGTTTTATTACTCCTTAGTTCTTATTACTTTTTTGGGGGAGAGAATAAAGTCAAATATGGCAAAACAAAGCTGTCAGTCAAAACCAAGGATACACATAGAACATGATGTAAAACAGAGTACAAGGTTATCAACAATGGTTATCAACGTTGTCTCTTGTTTCCTTAAAAAGAATTGTCTATCTCATTAGATATTATAAAGTTGAACAAAACGGTAGAGAACAAGACCATAATGTCCACTGATGTTGTGGCTAATATTGCATGATTGTTGCACTGGTTCTCTCCTGTAGTTACCTCTCCTGGGCTCATTTTCCCAGGGTCAGTTGCTGGAGGTTTTTTCTTATTTCTGTCTCTCGTCATGTTTCTGGTTTCTTTTAGACAGGTGTGTAGTGGAGGTCTCTAGCCTTCTCTGTATTGCTTACAGTGTTTCCGAAATGTGTTGACTGGAGTTTTGCTATCTCCTCCAGTTTGCTCTTATCTGAGGTGCACGCAGGGACAATGTGAACTGGCCCCACACCTCTGAGCCAGTCAACAGCAAGTGCCTTTAGAAACTTAGGCTGTGCCATTGTGGATGTCACAGTGTCATGAAAGTTTCATCCCTGGCTATTGGGTCCCAACTAAGGGTGTGCCTCAGCCCAAGCAAGTCCCACCAGTCCTCTCTGGCCAGGGGCAGCTGACTGATGCCACTGCAGTGTTGGGATCTGCCCCACTCCAAGATGTCTTTCAGCCAGCAACACCCATGGTGGGACCAAGTTTCCAGCACTCATCACAAACTATTACAATTCTCCACCTTGGCTCCACTTCATGCTACACCGTGTCCTCCTGCTAAGGGCCTGGGACTCACCAATTCCTATTATTGGTTGCCATGGCTTCAGTGTGACCTTGAATAGCCCGACGCCTTGGCGCTCCCAGCACAGCATGGACTGGTCTCAGTGAGCACTCTGGGGTCTAGCTCTCTACTCACATTTTTCCTTCCTCTTCCTATTTTTCTTTTTCCTTCAGTTTCCTCCTGGATTCGTGAGAGTCCCTCTCCACTCGTCTGGCCCTCACCAAGTTGTCAAATTCCAGCATCTGAGCTGTTGAGGCTCTTCACCCAGCTACGTATCAAGTCGGCATCTTCTGTCCACCTGATAGGAAGTTTTCACTGTCCTCCAGTCCCCCACCCCCAGGCCTGCAGAGCCAAGGGAGTAACACAAGCACTGAGCTGTTCCCTTCCCCTCAGTCCAAAATGTTAAGCTATATTAAAGATGATGTTGGTAGTTTGATAGGGGATTTTTTTTCTTATCTTTATTGTTTTCTTTATTTGCTTTTGATTTCAATCTGTATTTTAATTAAAAATAAATATATGCATGCAAATTAAAAACATAATGAGATCTCACTATTGGATGACTAAAATACAATGACATCAACTATGGTTAGGATGCCAAGAAACTGTATCACTCATGCTGTTCATGGAAATATAGAATTATACAGCTACTCTCAGCCACAGTTAGGAATCTCATTGTATTTTACTTTTAACAGATATAATTTAGATATATGTAATGATCATATTCATTATAGGGAATTTGTTCTTCTATATGATATATCTTCATTCCTCTTTTGTTCCCCAATGTCTTCTCTTCTCTTTAAGACCTCTTTTCCTTTTTATTTACAAAGCAATATTTCCATTTTTATCTTTCTTTTATAACTTTTCTTTTCCCTTCCTTCCTTTCTCCCTCCCCCTCTTTAGTCTACTTTCTTTTGAGCCATTTGTTCCTATTTCACAACACGATTGTGTCCCTATTTACACTTTTATATTTTCACACCAGAGAAACAATGTGATGTTTACACATGTGTGACTGATTTATTTCACTTAAGAATATAATCTAAAGTTGCATCTATTTACCTAGAAATGTCCAGAATTTATCCTTCTTGGAGTTTCCTTTTTCTGAGACATAAATTCACTTTCACTGTTGAAGTTCAAAATCTCAAATATCACAAGATTATCTCAAACCTCTGAGGTATTATACTTGTGATAATTTTATACATAATGAAACTTAGCAGGGTAGATGGTGACATGACCATCATAGGATACTCTTTCTCTGAGATATCTCAATAATTTCTTAATGGAGTATGAAATTACTACATTTGCCTCACAATAGGTGTACATAGTGGTGCAACCTATGTAGTCCTAACCGTAGGATACAGAAAAGTTAGTGCCCACATGTTAACACAGTCTTGCTTTAAAACTTTCTCTACTCTTTCCACCTACTCCAATAATCCCTCTAAGACTCATCCACACAGAGCTTCTAAGATTGAATGCCTAACTTAGGTGCCACATGGATGATGTCCAGGCAACAAGATGGAGTTTAGAGATTGAGATCATTTGTCAAATGTCACACACATGGAAAAACAACAAAATCAGACTTGAAGGCCTAGTTGAAGTGTATACAAATATCATAGACTCATACACTTTGGTTCTTCAATGTTATGGCAGTTTGAACTTACTCTATAAGCCAAAGCTCCAAGCCAATGACACAGTCACTCAAAAGATATTCCAACAATGAAATATATCAAGGCTTCTTTCATTTCTTTGTTCTTCAAACTGTAGATAATGGGGTTCATCATTGGAGGGATCACAATGTACATAATTGAAGCCAGCACATTCTTAATGGAAGAATCAGTAACTGCAGAACTCATGTAGACTCCAAAACCCGCCCCATAAAACAAGAACACCACTGAGAGGTGAGACCCACAGGTGGAAAAAGCTTTATATCTTCCTTCCACTGATGTGATCCTCAAGACAGAGGAGACAATTTGGATATAAGATAAAATAATCCCAAAGAGAGGTACACCAAAGAATGTGATACCCACTAAATATACCAGCAGGTTATTGATGAAGATATCAGAGCAGGCAAGCTTGATGACCACAGCCAGTTCACAGAAGAAGTGAGAGATTTTCAGGTCTGTGCAAAAGACCAGCTGCAATGCCATCAGACTGTGGATCAGGGCATGCATGGTGCTAATGAGTAGGGAAAGTAGAACCAGCAGGACACAGAGTTGGGGATTCATAATGACCATATACCTCAGAGGAAGGCAAATGGCTACATAGCGGTCATAGGCCATCACTGCAAGGAGACAATTTTCCAACCCACTAAAAAGCAAAGCAAAGGAGGCCTGAGAGAGGCAGCCTATGTAAGTGATGGTCTGATCCTGTGCTTGAATATTCACCAGCATCTTTGGGATCGTGATTGTGCTTGTACAAATGTCAATAAGGGACAGGTTGGAGAGGAAGAAGTACATGGGAGTGTGCAGATGGGAATCACAGCTAACAGCTAGGATGATGAGCAGGTTTCCCAGTATTGTGATCAAGTACATGGACAGGAACAGGATGAAGATTAAGGGCTGCAGTTCGGGGTCATCTGTCAGCCCCAAAAGATGGAATCCTAAAATAACCGTTTGGTTGGTGGGTTTCATGTTACTGGTTAATCTCATGGAAAAACTCATGTGAAAATAAAATGTCCTGACAAGAAGCAGCAGTATGACATTGTGATTTGTTAGAAAGGAAAATTCTTCATGTTGTGTAGTCCTACTGATGACAGGATATGGGAATGAAGACCAATGAGCCCAGTGTATTTCATATATCTAAAGACTGAGGGCAAAGTTTTTCACAAAGAAAAAAGAAAAAGAAAACTGACCTTCTTGTGTTTACTATGGACCCAAAGGTTATTCCGATAGTTTTGTCACTGATTCCCTCCATTCCTCTTCTCTTTCCTCTTCCCCTAACTTGCACACTCTTTGTTGGACAGCACACTTTTTCACACATTGTGGCAAATGCCAAGACTGTAAGAAATAAGACATGCAATTTCCGTAAGAGTCCATGCCTTTAATAAAAATAAGGATGAGAGTTAATTTATCAGATGTGTCTTCTTTTTTTAACTTTTTTTTATTGGTACCATGGATTGAACTCACGACCACCTGCTTGCAAGGCAAGTGCTTATGCCACTGAGCTAAATCCCCAGCCCCATCAGGGGCTTCTAATGTCATGGTCTTTGAGGCATGTTGACATGCCTCAGATCATCTGAAGGGCTTGTCAAATTACAGTCAGGGTAGTTGGTGTTATCAGCCCAATGGGCAAGAAGACCAAGAGGACATGTAATGGATATAAAGTACACTGTTCATGTTGGCAAGGACTGCAACAGAACTCAGATTGTCTGGCTGCTGACTTGATTCTCATGACCACTTTCTGATAATGTTTGTGGAGAGCATAAAATCAACATTGCTAAATGACCATATAGGTCTTCACATTTTTCAATGTATTTATAATCATGGACAAATTTTTTTTGATGTTGTTTCCCTGGCTTTCTAGGTAAGATCACTTTCACAACTTCTACAATTAAGCATGGGTGGGGGAAAGATCCATCCAGGTGGACTTGAATAATAATCAGAAAATATTTCTTTTAACTTCAAACCCATAAGATTCTCCAAGGACATTCAGGAAATCTGCGTTAGCAATAAATTTTAGAAGTCAGTAACCATGTTAATAACACTTGTTGTCTCATCCTAAGAGAACTTCTTTCCCTAGTGAGAAAGGAAGCACATCATTACATAAAATAAACAAAACCAGCCACATGAGGGAAAGAAGCACATGCAAAACCTCCTATGCAAATAAGCTGAAATGAAAACCAAATTGTTATTCTTCCAATGACAGAGATGTACAAGATGACACAGATTTAGATAATCAGGCTTCCTAACTGGAGGATCCCTGGAGAGCATCATTTTTTGTCTCCTGAGAAAGACAGAAGCACTATGGTATTGGTGGTCATTTGGTGTCATATTATATTCTCATACTCTGACTGTAATCCAGGATCTGGCATTTGCTTTCTCAATATGAAAAATCTTCAACTAGATAAGAATCCAGGCTGTCACCACTTGCTTAATGAAACTGCCCAATGAATGTGTTCTTTAGCTGTCATTTGATAATCATTTCTCAGTTTGTAATTCCCATCACATTGTGTATCCCAAATATACAGTTTTTGCTTGTGTAATTATGCCTGAGAAAACTTTACTTGATGAGAAATGAAAACAACAAGCCATCAGTTTAGTGCTGGACAATCAGAACCCTCACATTGATCTTTCCTACTATACATGTGACAACAGCAACTGGTGCTGTTCACCCATTAGAAGAAGTAGAATCCTGGAACAGGTGAACAAAGAGAGACAAAACATCTCCAGAGTAATAAATGCACACTTTTGGGAGGGGTTTTTGTGCTGAACATACCACTAGGAATATTGGGTTGTGGAAAAGTATGGAAAGAGACATCAATGACACCAATATTCATTTGGCATGGCCATAAAACATGTAACAATGAAAATGAATTAAATGGTAATTGTATTAGACAGAGGAGTCACAAAACCCTACTAATCTAAGAAAAATGGCTATGTAAATAGTGGTCCTGGAGAAAACTGAAAATATTTTAATCTACCCAGATATGTTTTCTTACAGATTATTCAGACATGATGGAAAGTAAAACCATTCAGGTCAGCATTCATTAGTCACCAATTAGAAGCTAATGCACTTTATAATGATGTATTTAGTAAGCTTTATATAAATAGAATCTTACAGCATAATGTCACTTATGAGTGATGCTCTTTGGAAATTTTACAAATTTGCTTTGGTGTATTTAGTCCTTCTTAATTTTTACTATTAGAACATCTTACTGTCTTGTCACAATACAATTTATTGTCCCTAAATGATAACTATGCCTTTTAACACATAGGTAGATGATGGCAGATAGACAGAGGATAGATAATGATGATGATGATAGATAGATGATTGATAGAGAGATAGATAGATGACAATAATATACATAATAGATAGTAGATGGAAAGCAGAGAGAGACAGAGAGAGAGACAGAGAGAGAAAAGAGAGAGAGAGAGAGAAAAGAGAGAGAGAGAGAGAGATCCAATAGAAAGCTAGGCACATAAATATTACTATATGTGTAATATAGAGCTATGCATGTGAAACTCCATTACATTCATGTTGTCATATTTTGAAGAGGGAAAATAGAAGAATGCAGGAGAATATAATTTATAAATGGTGCATCCTTATTACTTTATCTTAAAAGACCCAAAGCAACAGGATAAAGACTAAGCTTCTAAGTCTGGAATGAAATGATAATATTGTTATTATTATTAACTATTACTAACTGCAGTATCTCTGTTGTTCCTGAGTGCACTATTTGGGAGTTTTAGAAAGCAAAAAAGGCAGGACCTCTGTGTCTCCACCTCTTTGCCTAGAGTCCTCACATCACCTATCACCACTGAAAAAAAGCTTTAGATACAATAGTAGATCAAAACAACTGACATAAATCAAGGAGCTGACTTCTATACCCCCTAAAATTCATATGTTGAAATCTTTACCCATAATTTCCTAAACATATTATGATACTTAAAGAATTTATTCAAAAATTACTTAAGTTAGAATATTTTCAGTGGGGTGAAGCTTAATCTGATAGGACTAGTATCTTTATAAGAAGATATCGTGACAAACTTACACATACACACACACACACACACACACACACACACACACACACACACACTTTGAAGACACAGGGAGAATATGGCCAGTTATGAGTGAGCAAACAAGAGAAACCAACCCTGCTAGCATATTGATCTTCAAACTTCTAGACTCTGAAACTGTGGGAGGAAAAATTCTGTTGTTAAATCACATGATCTTTAGGCTTTTGTTTCACCCACCCTAACAACTAACTGTAGAGCAAAACAAATTTCCAGCACTGTCATCAAATATTCCAGGAAACTCAGGGTATTTTATGAGTCATCATGTCTGAGAAGGGGCACCATAAATTCCGCTCAGAATAAAATGTTTTCCATCCTTGTGGAAAATAAGAGGAGAGTAGAAAAAGAACTGTGTGAATATCGATGAGAAGTTAGGTTTCTCCGGAATGAAATTTAGGCAGAATACCTGTCCTTATGGCCAAATCATCACCGAGGTGAGTAACTTCACTGAAAATAATATTCAGCACCTCCAGGATGTTGAGGGCAGAAGATCAGTTCTCAGCAGTGGTAGACAATTCTCCTGAAGCAGGAGGTTCTTGGTCAGAAAGAATCATCTTAAAAGGAGGCTCAGATGTTGCTCCCTGTGGAGCTGCACTCTGGAGTGACTTGGTCACAGGCGTGCTCCTACAGTCTCTTCATCCCTGAGGAACTCAATATCCAAAGCTTCTCATTAAAGTAGCTATTTATCTAACCTTGCTGTCTCAGGAGTGCATGTCTCTAAAGACTGAGTTTACAGTAAAGAAGAAATCAGGATGGCTTATCTCCTACCTCTGATGTCGTGTTTGCCTTCTAAAGTTCTCCCCATGGTTCATGCTCATCTTTGATTCTCAAATTTTGCACACATAACATGAGTCACTCTACTGATACATTTCAATCTTCCATTTCTGCTATCAACATCATCATTTCCACATATTTCACAATATTAGAGGGCTTGATTCAGTATTACATGTGAAAATATATGAGTGTGGATAATATACTTTCGGTGGATGAAACTTAAAATTTTATTTAAATTTTACATAATTTTAGAGGTCATGAAATATGACTTTTCATTTTTAACCATTTAAAATTTAACTATGCCACAGAGCTCAAAGGGCCATAAAAAACAAGGTAATAGGCCATATGTATCCCAAGACACACAATTTTCTTGACCACAGTAACAAAATGTTACATAAAAACCAATATCAAACCAATATACTTTCTGTGAATGAAACTCAAAATTTTATTTAAATTTTTTATAATTTTAGTGGTCATGAAATGTGACTTTTTTGTAATTTTTTTATTTTAAAGAAATTAAAGCAAAAGAGGACAGAGCAAAGCAGATCAGAGCAGAACAATATAAACAACACAGTATTTAACCACATGACAACCCATAATTAACAGTAGCAACCATAATGTCTCCTTTTTAAAAATTTTTTTAATTTTATTTAAATAAAGGCTAAATAAAACAGAAAATAGATAGAAGTAATACATATGTTCAGAGAGAAACAATGGAGAGTAAGAAATAACTAGTTGATGCTTACATGTTGTCATTTTACAAATCGTTGTTCAAAATACAAAAATGGAACATGTAAAGTGGGAATTCAAACAGTGAGACCACAAACAGTTATGTTCAACTGTCCAACAAAAACTTAGTAACATGGTTGTCAATCCTACACACTTAAACATACATGCAGTTATCCATAGCTTCATTTATGTTTAGATTAAACAAACTAAAGCATGTTAAAATGATTCTGAACAAAGAATAATAGTATTGCTGAATTTCAGCACTGGGTACTGTAGTGTCTTTTTTTAATTTAATTTAAAGAAAGATTAAACAAAACAGAAAATGGGTAGAAATAATAGATCATTTCAAAGAAAAAAATAAACAGTAGCAATCACTAGTTGATGATTACAGA